AATAAGTTTGTGGGTATTTTGCGGTCCAATTATTGATTTAATTTTTGTAAGTTGGTAGAGACGTTGGAAAGAAACGCTTAAGCACTCCAGTCATAATGTATATTTTACCAAAGACATTTTTGTGTGCAAACTACACCACCGGGCAACCTTGCCGCCAACGCATAATCTCAAATTTTATACTAAAGAGAGTAAGCAAGGAGACACAGTAGTCGACAAATAGTAGAACTACTGATGAAAGGGATTTTTTCACTAGATGGGAAACCACATTAAAATGCCAAGGCGTGTTAAAAATGAGAGGCAAATAGTCCGACATCCTCCAGCAAAGCTTCGCCAGGGTCGTGTGAAACTTCTCTCGCCATAACCTGACAAACAAGGAGTTGGAAATCACCACAAAATTTCACAACAAAGTGTTGGTTGGGATTTGGTGCTTGAGAGAGCATACTAACGTTCAACGCTTCACCTTTTACTATTCCAACCTCTCAACCATAACTTTTCCCGACATGAGACTTAGATAGAGAAGGCAATGTCGTTTTGCTCTTAGCCACTAAGAGAGAAGCCTAATTTTGAAAAGGTGCAAAAGTTTGGTGCCATGTTCAGCAATCCGAAAAAGGAGGCTAAAAAGTTCTCATAGTTTAAAGCAAAAAAATGAAAAGCACCACCAATGAGTCCATTGTTTTTCAATTTTTCCTTGGGAGTCACCCAATTCACACCTTAAATGTGTAAACCTCTTTAGTCGACATTGTCATCATCCAATAGTGTACGTTGTCACAAAGAGATGAAAGTAACGCTTACTCGGCCCCGACTATTCTTGAAAGTGCAACCGAAAAAAATATAGAGCATACCATTTTGGTTGTTTTCCAAGTTGTACTGATTTGAAAAGTTTTGCTTGGGGACAAGCAAACACCTAATTGTAGGGGATTTGATAAAAATGGTGTTATTTACCCTCTATATTTTGGGTATTCTTAGGCCATATCATGGTCTCAATGATAAATATTTTATCAAATGCATCCCAAATTCGTTCCTCAAAGTAATACATGTCATTTTAGGGTGTGTTAGATGATACTTTCGTTTTAGGCACAAAAATGGGTCACAAGTGTAGAAAAAGGGGTGAACAAAGAGATCACGCATAGGGGCGGAGATTACAGGAAGGAAGAGGAGCTTCAAAGTCGAGATGAAGATCACGGTCTCTCAAGCCAAGATCGCACCTGCTATCTTTGAGGAGGCAACCGCGAACTCAGAGAAGCTGCAGCCAAAGAAGAAAGAATCTCTCAATAGTCGACTCATGGACTTCCACTTTTGAGGCTGCGAGAAGAGATCACAGTTGCGACTTCAGGATCACAACCACGAAGTCCATGCGCAAAATCCCGTGCCAGTAGTGTGGTCTAAAGATCGCGGCTTCTAACCAAAGATCACGACCAAGATCTCTTGCCTCGTACTCGCGTACTTGCCTACATTTTACATAGCCCTATAAATAGGGGTCTCCTCCCTTTGAGTAGAATGGCTTTTGGCAGAGTTCTTGTTCTAGAGTGAGGTTAGAGAGAGAAGTAGAAGGTTGGAGAAGAAGTGGAGGAGAGCCTTAGAGGAGGATTTCCAGCACTAGAAGACCCTTCTTTCTAATTTCTTTTCCTATATTTATGTCCATTATTCCCCGCATCATAGAGTAGTTCCTCAAGATTCTTTGAGGTTGAGTCCCCCAAACCCTAACCTAAGATTTGTCATGTAATAGGATGTTTTAAACTTGATTTGTGGATAATTATGGAGCTATCTATCAATGTCTATTTTATGATTGTTCTTACTTTGTATCATGCAGTGTGTGATTATCTTTATCCCATTAGCCCTAGTTGCAACTTAGGCGGTTGGGGATTTATCATCCCCTTTCTTGGGCAGAACCCATTTAGAGGAGATAGTTTATATATCTGCATCATGAAGCTAACTTAGGTGACATTGGGCTAGTGGAACAGTGTAGGAGGGGTATTGGTTGCATGACCATTAAGCCAATCCCTAGATTAGAAATCTCCGCACCTCGATCACCATGGATCGTCCTTCTTTTCTTTGCATGTTATCCACCTGTTAGGGAGGGAGCCACCCCAAGTTCCTTTTCTCTCCTATCGAACGCTAGTTCATTAAGTTCCAATTGTCCACATGCTAAGTATCAGGTCGACTAGATAACAACCGAGCCTAAATAGTTTAGAATACTGTGACCTTTGAAATACAATCGATCCACTTTACTGCATCGCTAACATAGTTTTACTTCATTTTTTAGGATAGAAATGAGTGTGTATCTATTTACTAAATTATAAAACTCGATCATGATCAAATATTTACTTCAATAAAGAACTTTGATATGTCCAATGTAGCAATATTATCCAAATAGGCTTGGAAACTTCTTCGTGACCTGGATAGTGTCCTTGACATAATGTATAAGGACCTCCATCTATACATGTTCTTCTAAATGGCGCTTCCCTAGATCATCCAATGGTATATTTTCTAGTGGACTCTAACTCTATGGTTTGGGAAGTAAACCTACTTAAAACCTTATTTAATCCTGTTAAGATTGAAAAAACCTTGTCCATCCCTCTCTAATCTTCCCTCCAAGAAGAAAAATTGATTTGGCACTATGATAAGTCTGGACAATACACAGTGAAATCGGAGTACATCTTCTTTTGTCTGAGATAAATCCACCCCTTAACACTTTTCTAGACTTCTTGTATACCAAATTTTGGAAATAGATGTGGAATATTCGGATACCTCCTAAACTCAAATTCTTCCTTTTGGAGATTGGTTAGTGGATTCTTACTAGTTAAAGGAATCCTCCATTGTAAAAAATTATTCCATCAAATCTTTGCCTTGCTTGTTGTGAGGCAACTGAAGACCTCAAGCACTATTTCTTCTACTCTAGAATCACTGGAGAACTGTGGGCATTAATAGACCTTCACCAGATAAGATATATGATGAAGGCAACCCTTTTGGACCTTGCATGGATAAACCTTTTTTCACTCCCGATATCTCCAACAATGATGTAGCTTACATAGTCTTTCTATTATGGAGAATATGGAAAGGTCAATGTCAGGTTGCATATGGACACATTATATATAAATAACAAGTTTTATATAGCCAACTGTCAATTCATGTGGAGGAATGGAAAATGACAGAGACACATGAGGTTCAGAAGTCCACATGAGTCCAAAGGCCATCATCACACTCTTTCACAGGCCATGATTCTCATGCACGAAGAACATACGCAACCTGTCCTAGTGAAGGTGTATTGGTCTGATTCGATGGGGCTACAAAATCTCCCAAAGATGTGCAACTGGCTTCGTCAGTTTCTCAAGTGATGGAATAATTTCATTTGCAATTGGTAAATTCTAAGATGGCATTACTGTTGCGTATACATTATAATTACTAGATACTCGTAATGCTATGAAATGGTGTCTCATCCATAACTTTTGACTGTTGCTTTTTGTGGAGACTCTCAATTGGTCATCAAGGATGTAACATTGAGGCAGACTTCTCATTCAAGAGCGGGAGCCACCGTAGAGAAAGTTCACTCTCTACTTCCCTCATTTATTTCATTCTCGTGCAACTTTGCTCCTCGAAGCTTCAACAGAGATGCCCACATCTCATGACAAACATGCTCTTTTATCCGGAGTCTGGTTGTATACATACTACCATTATTGTTTATTTTGTAACTGTGTTGTCCGGTCATGCCCCGAAGGCTTATCTTGGATATAAAAATTGATTCGTAGTCCATTGAACTCGATTGACTCGTAAATCGATAAACTCGTAATCCGAATGATAATTTCAAGCAAAAATAATTTCAAATTGCACTTATCAAGCTTGACTTGACAAACTTTGTCAATAAGCATTTATCAACCAGAGCTCGAACTTTATTATTTTGATTCAAGCTCGAGCTCGAACCAGGAAAAAAAAAACTCAACTCGACTAGTTTCTAACCCTAGTAACAACTATAACTATAGACAATAATATATTTTTTGGCTAAATTACACGTTTGGTCACTCAAATTATACAAATCTTTCACGTTTGCCACCCAAATCATTTTTCTTTCTTATTGGCCACTAACTTTACGAATCAGTTCACCGTTAGTCACCGGCCATTACACTCCGTTAAATTTGTCCTACGTGGCAGTCAGCTATAAAGTTTGAACGTTAACTAGATAACATGAAAATTAAAAAATATATTAAAAAAAAATTTCCAACTCATCATTTCACTTACTTTATTTATATGATTTATAATATTAATTATTTAATAAAATTAATAATTTGCAAAATTTTAATTCTCCTCCCTTGGCTCATCTCCAAGGTGGTCTCCTCCAGCGTCTACCGCCCGACCCGACCATGATCCACCTCCGCTGCTCGCCTACTCTTACAAGGCTACAAAAAGTTCCTCCAGCTCACAACAGGTAACACGTGTCCTGCATCTCCGCAACCACCAACGCCGCTTATGAGGATAAGAACAAGACGACCTCCACGCTGTTCCCGCCCGTCTTCCCGGCCGGCGAGCTAAACACCGCCGGGTTCCTGCACGTGAAGACCCAACGCCATCTGCGGACTTTTTACGACAAGGATTACAACTGACTCGATTAACTACGTTGCTTGTGTTTACACCAAAGACGGTGATAGAATTACATTACAACAGAAGCAATAATCAGTAATGGCTCACTTGGTATACAGGGATTGTTCTCTCTGATTCTGAGAATACAAGGTTATCTGAGGATACACTGATTCTCCTTCTCTGAGTTTTGTACCAAATTCACACCATTCTGCATAGTACATGCATTTGTTGAAATTGAATACATCATTCAGATAACCCCTAAAAATGGAAACTGGAATTCTGAATGTGCATACAATCTTGATATGGACATAAACCTTGAAACTTCATACATCCCGAGTGGCAATCAGTCAGTAATCTCAAAGCATACATGATTCGCTCATAAAGCCGAAATAGCAGAAAGCTGAAGGCATTCACTATCAAGAGATCTATTATAAGCTATCCAAAAACTCAACAGTGCAATACTGGATCATCTTAATTACCTCATTCAGCCAGAAATGCTCATTGTTTATGTTGGTAATCAAGTTGCCAGTCCAGCTATGAGCCAATTCATGCGCCACGACCTGAGCCCCACTTGCATCCCCTTTGATCACCGTCGGTGTCAAGAACACCATCCTGGGATTCTCCATTCCACCATAAGGAAAGCTCGGCGGCAACACCAACAAATCAAACCTCTCCCACGGATACTCCCCAAACAGCTTCTCCCCTTGCCTGATCATCTCCTCAGTCTCTGCGAACTCACTGGCCGTCGAATCCAGCACTCCAACCACATTCTCAGAGTAAACCCACGTCCTCGGCCCAACTTCCCTGAACCCCAGTTCCCCAACCGCGAAAGCAAACAAGTACGGCGGAATCGGCTGCTCCATCACAAATTCCTCCACCATTCTCCCATCCCCACACCACAGAGACTCAAAATTGAGCCCCGCGGCGGAACCCCCTTTCTTAAACCCCTCGCTCACGTCACCGGTAACCGGATCGCGGCGGCCGGCATGCCTGGCGGACATCATCGCCGATAGCTCCCGCAGCACATTAAGCTTCGCGGAGTAACAGATGCGAGCGGCGGGTGTGTCCTGGCATGGGAAGACCGACCGCGCGTGAATCGACTGGCATTGAGTGTAGACGAAGGGATGGGTCTTGTTGAACGTCTGCGGCGGCGACAACCACTGGAGGGCGGAGGAATCCGGTGAGGTGGAGTAGAGGATGAGGATGGAGGCGAGGGAGTTGAGCGCGACGGAGAGGAGTGAGCCCTTGACGGCGTCGAGAGGGGAGAGATTGAAAGCGAGCGGGGCTAGGGTTTGAGGGTCGAGGACGCCGTGGACGGCGAGGGAGCGGGCGTCAAGGGATAGCTGGCCGGAGCAATAAAAAAGTTATTAATTTTATTAAATAATTAATATTATAAATCGTAAGTGGAATGATGAGTTGGAAAAATAAAAAATAATAATTTTTTTAATTTCCACGTCATCTAGTTAACGATCAAACTTTATAGTTGACTGCCACGTAGGATAAATTTAACGGAGTGTAACGACCAGTGACTAACGGTGAAATGATTTGTAAAGTTAGTGGTCAATAAGAAAGAAAAGTGATTTTGATGGCAAACGTGAAAGATTTGTATAATTTGAGTGACTAAACGTGTAATTTAGCCTATTTTTTTAGGATATAGTACCGGCTAGGAATTAAAAACTCAAGACACTTTGTTGGCCGAAAAAGAGGATCTTCGAAAGGGAGTTGGTACATAAGATCATATAGGTAACTAAAAAAATCTCACTTGTTGATTCATAATCGACTTAATTAGGCTGCAAAGACAACTTAGCTAAAAAAGTGAGTTTCAAATCATGAGATTTGAGGAGAGCATAAATCTCTTATGGTGTTATAAACTTATGATATTAAGTTATCCTCATTTAATTTTATCGCTCAGAATAATGGTTGCAAGTTGCAACCTGCACATGTATCGATAATGAAGTAGTCCAAGTTAAAGTAGTCTAAGTTCTGTATCTAATAAGAAAATATTTGGACGCAATGTGGGTCTAAGACAATCTCAAGAAAAGTGCATCCTTTTTTCTTCTTTCAATATTTGCATACAAACTCTAGCACCATCATGACCCATATGAGCAACTGGTTTGACAGTTGACAAAACATATCTAGGCCAAAATACATGGAATGAGAGGAAGTCCACTATTAGAAGCTGGGACACTCAGAAGAGAAATGTTTTCCAAGGTCAAGAAAATACATAATGATTGTAGGGTTCTTCTTCTTCTTTAGAGAGATATATAAATATGTGGTTGATTATTGTTTAATGCAAAGGACTAGATTATGGTCAAATTGCGCATATGGATTGATCCTTCCAACTTGATTAATTAAAAGTGTACAAAATAAAAGTGATGGGATCTCTTCCATATGGGCTGGGGGGTTATCAAATAATTGCCATGTGAGGTGCAGGAATATATCCTCACAAATCAGCCAACTTAATTTAATTGAAGTACCCGTTAATAACTCATCCTCATGATTTAACACATGACCTATAATTATTGGTTAGCCTTAATACATAGACCAAATCACGTGCTCCACTAACTACTTAGTGGTTCTTTGTTAAGAATTCTAACAATAGTTTAACTTCACTATAGAAAATGTCAAGGATATTGTGTTTTACAGGAAATCCTATGTTCTTTTCACGTTACAAGTTTAATTACTTTTCTATTGCTTTTAAAGGTTAAATTATAATAGAATGATGAATCAACAAGGTGGTGTGCCTCCTCTCAAATGATTTATTGTTTTGACATAGCACTGATGAAAATGTACGTATGAAGTTTAATCTACATTACATGTTCATACTAACTGAATCATGATGTGCATGTGTCATACTGATATCAATTTCACTTGATTTATACGGAATTGTGTGAACTAGCAATTGAATTGTAGACTGGACAATGATTTTTATCATAAATAGATGATGAATAATAAGAATCGTTAAAGAGATTCGATTAAGTCGACAAAGGAAGATTTGGTGCCACGTCGAGGTAGATAGTGAATGAAGTGAAGTAAAGAGAAGGAAGTGATGACTTGGACATACCACATGGGATGTCACAAGCCACGTTGGATGACACCAAAATGTATATTGCCTATCTTTATCAGTTAAGCACTCCATATTTGCAACCAAAATCACCAATCAAATCATCAAATAATGCTGTATCTGACTCTTTTCTTGGCAGCATTAAAAACTAAGGTGCTGTTCAACCAAAAGATATATTAATGCGTTGAAGTTGACCCCCAAGATTCATTTGCTGTGGCCAAATACATTTTTCAGATAAGTGGGGAAAGGAACATAACAAAATCTACAATAAATGATCATTTTGGGACAAGCTTTTCAGGTTGGGTAAGGCAACTTCACACTTGTCTGTTTTCTATGATGTTGATCGAGAGACTAAGGGGTCGTTTGGAAGTTGCGTATGTTAAATCGTTGTATTGTTACGAATCACTATGATATAAATGCATGCATTGATACAATAGATGCATTTTGAAATTACATTGTTTGGTTGTTGAGATTATAATTTATGAATTGATTGTTATAAAGTTACTTTATAAGGAAATGTCATATTTGTCCTCCACTTTTAATATAAAACAAAAAGAACTATGGACATTATTGGAAAAGGTAGATGTGCTCAATTATTAAACCAACAATCACAACAATCTCAACTTTTAGTTGAGATTGTACAATCCCTCATTTTTGTTGATTGTTGGTGGGACCCACACAAAACAATACATGCATTGTTTTGCAACTTGACACTTCCAAACGTTGCATTGTAGACAATGCATGTATTTAACAAATACAACACTAACAATCGCAACTTCCAAACGACCCCTAAGATCACATGTCTATCGACTGCTCATATAGTCACCGAGGCTTTCGCTGGAGCAAAGACGCTATTGGAAGAAAATATTGAAGGGAATTTGTAGAACTTGATAACGCGGAATTGAAAGAACATGTGAAACAAGGAATTTTACGTGATATCTTCATTTTTTATTGAACGAGATTAATTCATACTGAGCTCTAAAAAGCTCACGGCTGATGATTTTATTATCAATTACATCTTGACAGCTTGCTTACGGCAAAAACCGTACCTTAGCTTTTATAGAGAAAGACTTAGGGTTAAAACCCTAATGAGAAGACTCGAGTACGGCCAAGTATCTGTACCTACTACAACTCGGACAAGGCCCAATACTCACACGGTTATAAGTAATCACAACTCTCCCCCTCAAGTGAAGACATGAATGACAAGAATGTGGAGCTTGAAAAGAAAATGTGAAGAACAAGCATGACGAGCTTGTACAACAAAACACAAGATGAATGACATCCTAGACGAGGTTGATTTGGAGACTTCTGACTCTCTCTGAACAACCTGTTGAAGACGGTTGAGTGCATCTTCTTGAACGTCGTGATAGAGACGGTTGAATGCATCTCTTGATAAACTTGAACTCACTTGGTACATCGCGATCGACTTGATGAATGAGCTAGTCGGCCGACATATGTTGACTTCCTATTCTCACCCTCAAACTGAGGCATGAACAATGTGAATGCTTAGCTTAAAAGTTAATATGGTGACAATGAAAACTTACGAATTCGAGGGACGATCGCTTCTTGGATCGTGACTACCTCGTCACTTCTCGACTTGACAAATTTCATTGACGAAAGCTGTTCTATCTCTCCAGCACTAGCTGTTGAAGAGAAGACACCTGCAGTCTGTAGGTCACGTTTGTCTTCAACGCCATGACATGGATGTTGGTGAAGATTTGCTTGATGAAACTTGTTGAAGCCCTCTTTGAACTGATGACAACCACTTCAAACTCATGTTTGTAGCGACTGCCAACCCAAACGAATGTCAAATTATTTAATAAAGTCTCGAAATCCTCTATGGAGACAAAGTGGTATTTAATTTTCAGAAATTATTTAATAAAATTTTAAAATCCACCACAAAATCAAACTGCAATCAAAGTATCGATTTAATCTAATTCATCTTATTCAACTCAATTAGATGTTTACTATTACTTGTTATAAAGTGCGGCCAATTATCTAGTATTTAGTAAATTTGACGCGTACAAAGTTAGAAATTTCAGAGCTTTACTTGTGACATTAATCAACCGGAGTTGGAATACTTTAAATTATCTAGTCTAGAAGAATCACCACCTCGCAGGAAGAGGGAACCCCATTAATAACTGATGAGGTGCTTCAGCAGCTGCTCTGGATAAGGTTGCCGACTTGCATTGCATGGCCCGGTCGGCCTCCATCTTTTAGTCAAAAGAAAAAGTTCGGTATAAAGGATAGTTTTTTATGATTTAAATGCACCATCGCGGTTTCACTTTGTGGTTTAATTACCATATATATAGTTAATCATATCTTAAGTGAGAGTACGTTGTTAACTGGGACAAGTAGGAATGATTAGTCTTATCGAAGAATTCCAAGCGACTGGCTGACTAATGGATTCTCGGTTGTCCAAAAATTAGTAAGGTATTTTTTATTTAATTTTGGTGATAGTTTGGTTGATATAGTTAATTAGTTGCTCCAGACGTATGATCGTATTTTTTGGCAGATGAGCCCGATCGAGATTTTTCCAGGAGGACATTCCACGTTGGGGTCTTCACTACCTGACATATCGCAACCCCATCGTGGACGCTTCCACCTTCACCCTGGTTTGTTGGCAACTGTGGCAAAATCGCAATGCCTGGGTTTTTTAGAAGCAATTGGCGGCACCTATGCAGCTGGCTGGGCGAATAAAGTTGATGCGAAGCCAGGTTTCCTCGACTTTTAAGGCGTCGGAGAGCTTCACGGGAGGAGAAAGCCAGAGGTGTACAAGGAACATCAGCTGGCAACGTCCTCCAATTGGTTGGGCCTGAATACGAATGGATCAGTGCTTCTATCTCAAAAGAGTGTTGCTGCAGGAGGAGTGATAAGAAGAGAAGATGGACGGATGTTGCGGGCCTTCTAGACGAACTTGGGCTGTAGGGGTGGCTATACGGTCCGGTCCGGTTAAATTGGACCAAATTGATCCAGTCCCAGTCCGGTCTTTCGGGAATATAAGGACCAAAGATTGAATTGGATACAGTCCGGTCTTGATCCGGTCCGGTCTTGACCCGATCCGGTCCTAATTTGATCTTGATTTTAGGTGTTGTGGGTCTCTTATCCGGTCTTTATCTAGGTTTTTTACCTCAAATCTAAGCCCGAATATGAGATTGGATTGTTTGCTATCCGGTCCCGGTCCGGGTTATACGGTCCGGTTTTGGGTAAAACCAAACAGTCCGGACCAAATAGCCAGCCCTATTGGGCGGCGGTTCAATCACACACGCAGAACTTGCAGGCATCGAG